GAGCTCGGCTCAGCCGCGCAGCCTCCTGCCCAGGGCCCCTCACCCGGTGGGCTGCGCCCCGAACCACATGCATCTTGCGCGGCTATCAAGTGAGCAGTGGGGGCGGTCAGGGCTCCCGGCCCTGCTTTCTCGGGCCCTCGATGGACTAAATCCCCAAAGACGGCCCGGGGCTGGGCTTTCCTTCTTGGGAGGGGCTGCTCCGGACGGCAGGCGCAGGTTCAGGGCCCCTCTGCGGCCCCTCGAGGGAAGGCCCGCCCGCCCGCCCGCTGGAGGGCACAGCTCGGCGCCGCCTGCCAAGACGCTGACACGTGCATCTACTTCTCGTAGCTATGGCAATCAAAACAGGCAAAAAGCAATACTTTTTGCACAATATCACATGTTGCTTAATGTTTGGACACTGATATTTTCTCCAGCTGGGTTTTTCTTAATTTAAGTCAACAAACCAATCTGGAGGCAAACATGTTGCTCGTGTTTGGGAACCAAACAAAAGTGATGTGCGGCAGGAAGACTTAAGAAAAGGCTCAGGTGTGCGTGTGCTCCCTCCTTCGGGGAGGACTCAGCCGCTCAGAGGCAAGGGAGGAAATGGGACAAAAGTCCCCGACCTCCCTGCGCCGTTGCCCGTGCCCCTCGCCCTAGGACTGGTGCCTCCTGGCGAGAACCACACGCAGAGGAAAAGCGCTCGGAGTGCCCCACGGGGTCCCTGGCAGCCAGCGGAGGGATCTCGGCCCCGGGAGCAGCACACGCTCCCCTTCCTCGGCACGAGTTCAGGACAGCGACCCCCTGGAGCTCCTCCTCGCGCCCTCAGACGCAGGGCCACCCGCTCAGGCCGAGCACCTACACCCACCCGAGACGAGCTCCGCTCACCAGTCACCCAGGAAGGCCACTCAAACCACGGTGAGGAGTACGAGGCTCCCCGAAGGTGCCCCGTGACACGGGTGCACGCGTCCCACGATCGATCTTAACTGGCGTTTGTGCAGAGTTTTTTCTCTTGGGCTTTTTTTCTTTTCCCCCCAACGAAAAAACATCGAGAACACTTTAAAGACTTGCTAACGATGTCCTTTCATCAGTCCGGGCGCCGTCGGGGTTGGGCTCTGCGTCCGGCCGCGCCTCGCTGTCCAGGCCCTTCCCTACGCCTCACCCCCCACCCGCCCAGCACGCACCCCACGGAGCCGACCGGCTGATGGAGGCCAGACGCGCTCGTCTGTCGGCAGCTGGAGACACGGGGTCCGAGGCCTCTGCACAGCCGCCCTCGGCCGCCTAGAGACGCGTCAGGACCTGCAGTTTCTCCAGGCTCTGGGCCTGGCTTGCAGCTGCCACCCCTTTTCCTTCAGACGGACAGACAGGACAGACAGGGGCCGCATGGCAAAGCCCCGCGTAAGCCTCAACGTCTTTGAGACTGATAACACGCAAAATTGATGTGGGCTTCAGCTTCCTAAACACAAGCTCTCAATCAAATGCTGGCGAACAAGAAAGGAAAAAACCGGGCCTGGGCTGAGGGAGGCCCAGCACAGCGAAATCCCCGCCGCGGGCCTCGGGCTGCCCTCCGCCCGTGACCCCGCCGCCCGGACGGCGGCAAGAAAACACACCCCGACGACGCGCTCGGGCTCCCGACACATCACGGCTCCCGGACCACAGGGCAAGGCTCGGTTTCCTGAATGCTCTTGTGGGACAATCTTTTGAGTAAAATAAAACTCTTTTCCCGCGTGCCCCTCCCCACCGCCCCCGCGTTAAGTCATTTATCACTCGAGAGTCCTCCTCGGTGCGGTTTAAAACCAAAATCGCACGAAGACCCTCGGCAAGCTCCAGCGCGGACGGCTCTCCCCTCGATTCAGCTGCGACGGCGGCCGAGGTTTGAGCTGGCGCTGCTGCGTGGTCACAGCGGGGGCGCCGGCAGCCCGGGTGGGGCACGCCGGGGGGCGGCCGGGAGGACACAGGGCCATCAGCGCCCGTCCGCCCCGCCAGGGCCACCGCGCGGCTGGGAGGTGGGGACAAGGGCCTCCGGAGACGGCACACGGACCCCACGGGGCTCCCACGGCATCGGGCCGCCGCTTTGGTTCTTAATCAACCTCCCCGTCGCAGTTTTCAAGGAAGTAAGTTCTGGGGTGACCCATGAGCGGGTTAAGAAACACAAACCGTCTCGATACAGACACAGCAGCACTGGACTCGCCCGGCCACTCGGAAGAGGAGACTCCGGACGAGCGCCCGGCGTGCGGGAAGGAGGCTTGGAAGAAAACGTGCATCCGAAGACACTGGGTGGGAAGGGACTTCCGTGTCTCCAAACGGTCAAATCACACGCGGGTGGTGCAGTCGGCGCGTCTGCCGGGTAAGAAGCAGACAAGGATTAGCAGTCCCACCTCGGTCACCTGCAAGGTGAGCCTTCTTGCCTCCCGCGTGAGCCCTGTGGTACCCTTTGCCACTGCCAGCAGCCGATCCCACGGGGTCCGCCTCTGCCCGAGCCTGTGCCACAGCCTCCCTCCGGCCCCCGCTCGCACAGGACACCGTGCAATTTTCTTCCTTGGGCATCAGAAGGCAGACTTGTGCGGTCACCTGGTCCCTTGGTGCAGCCGCAGGACACGGACAGGTGCGGGCTCACATGAGGCGTCTGTTCTACGTGGGCAAAGGAATTGGGGAGCACAGCCACCCTCCGCAACCCCGGTGTCTGCCCGGCCGAGGGCATCTATGGCTGTACCCGCGCCTCTGCAAACACACGTGCTCTCTCCAAATCTCTCACGATCTGGGTCTCTGGAAACGGGTGAGAACAGCACGCGGTGGCCAAGCTGCTGCGCGGAGCCAGCCGTCACCGGCCCGGGGGTCTCCGTGTCGGCGTTCAAAGCGCCGGTGCGGGGGACCCGGGCCTGAGGCCCAAGAACACAGATCTTTCTTGTTTCGACGTTTCTTTTTATTTGGAAAATATTTTTGCGTCTCTTTGTGCCTTTCCTTTTCCTCTTTATCTCCATAAACGGCGCCGCAACCTTGAGCAGCAGCGGCTCTAGGCGACCCGCGCTGGCTTTTCATGTGGGCCTCTGCAGAGCCTGTCCTCGGAGCGGTACACGGCCGCGCCCGTTTGAGCCTGGCTGCTGCCTCCGTCAGCGGGAACCTCGGGGCATCTATCAAGCCTGTTCTGACAGCGCCGAGGAAGCCCTGGGAGACAGAAAACAGGACGTGGGCCCAAACAGGCGGTGCCAGGCCACGCGGAGCTACGGGGTCACCTCGGACGGCTCCGGCGGGCGGGTCCCTGGCTGCAGGTGGCCGAGCCCTGCCAGGAGCCTGGCCCTCGCAGGAGCCTCCCTCGGAGGCCACCTGGGGATCACAGTGTGGGGCACGTTGGCGGGCAAGGGACCCACGCTTTCCTGGTCCAGGCGGCGGCACGGGCCACGTGGACATGACACGCGGAGCATCAGGAGGGCCCGTGGGGTTGTCACGGAGCCGAGGGGAGAGCTCCACCCTGGCCCCGCTCTCCCATCCATCCTTGGACGGACGGACGTGGTGCTGGGGGTCTCCCAACCGCAGCCTAGTGCACGGCTATGGTGCCCTCTATTGGAAAGCACTCAGACGAAATCCACACCCAGGCCAACAAGGACCACCTGCCTCCTGAGAACCACGGTTTCCCGTTCCGTTCAGGGCCGGGCAGAGGGGCCGCGCGTGACCACGTCTCTGGGTGGCCGTCAGTTCCTGGAGAAAAGCCTTTTCCTTATGGAATTTCCCACACAGCCGCCTCCCCGGCCCCCGGGTGCAGAGTGTGCCCCGGGCCCCCCCACTCGTCGCCCCAAGCCGTCAGAAACACAGGAGGGAGCCCTCTGCCCTCGCGCGGAGACGCCGGACAGCGCGCTTACAGCTCTGGGGGCCCGCCGAGGGGCTCAGTGACACAGGCCGGCTCGGCGGTCTGTCCAGAGGTCAGACCTCTACGCAGCTCACGGTGGGAGCGGGACGGCGCGCTTGGAGACGAAGCACAGAGAAGGAGCGAAGTCAGGAGATGATGGAGTAAGGGTCACAGCACTTTATTTTGGAGGGGGGAAAAATCCAGAATTCGGTTGATGTAATAAAGGGCTACGTTAAACTACAAGTTGGGGAGAAGAGGCTGAAGCCGGCTAACGTTAGGTCCTTGTTCTCTCGTAGGCGTACAGGTAACGCGAAATATAAAATGCACCCAAGCCGCGCACGTCACAGGCCGTATATTTGCCCAGCCTTTCAGTGACGCGTACAAACCACCTGAGCTTCCCTGCTGTGCTTTACGGTCGCAGGAACCCCTGACAAAAATACAGCTTTCTACTGCACGGTGGGGTGGGGTTTATTTTCTCCATATATCATTCGCTCTATTTTATTTACCCACAAGCACAGCTACGAGTTTCCCCTCATGCTTTTTCTGATATAGTTAATTATGAAGCTGAAACGACAGCAGGATAATGAAGTATCGGGCTGAGGTCCTCGGTGGATGCTGGAAACGCTCTGTGACCGCCCCTGGGGACAGGAGCCGACCACCTTCCCGCGTGACCTCTGACCTCCAGGCTCGGGCTCGGGGTGCCGGGGAAGGAGAGGTCGGCGGGCCTCGCCACGTCCTCTGCTCGGGGCATGCGAAGGTCAGGGGCGGGGCTGGGGCCCGAGGCAAGACCCCCCCCCCCATCCCTCAGAAAGGAGCCACTGCAACCAAACCCACCTCGAAGGGCGACGGTTGGCCCAGCGGGTCTTTCCCATTTGACCGATACAGCCCCACACGCGTGCATCCTGCACAAGCCTTTCCAGCGGTGAGTAAGGCAAGGTTAGGAAGCCTCCTGAGAAGCGGGGGTAGCCGGGAAGCATGCCGGGAGGCCGGCTTCTGGGGGACAGGCCTGTCGCCCGGCTGTTTGCAGGCTCCCCCTGCTCCCTCATCCCGGCTGTAGCAGCCGTTAGAGATGGGGCGAGAGTGGGAGGGGAACAGACCGTATGAACAAGGGAGGGCTGGTCTTCTGAACTTGCTCGGCTGCAAAATGTAAAAACAAGGAAGGGCACACGCACGGCATCCCTCAGGACACACCGAGCACCTTTAATAGGGCAGGGCCACCGCGTACCCCTTCCAGCGTGCTGGTACCTTCACAGGTCACTCAGATGTTTACTCCCGCACGCACCCGTCCCGGCCAGCAGGATGGGGGCTGGGGGTGCCACCCAGCGCCCCGCGTCGGGTTCCGGCCAGATAGGAGCCCCCTGGATAGGTGGGCTTCCCTGCCAGGCGGCCTTCGTGGGCTAGCAGAGCAGCCACTCCTTCGTGGCGAGTCCTCCGGTGTAGTTGCCCATGGCTCCGCTGCTGCAGACCACTCTGTGGCACGGGATGAGGATGGGCACCTGGAAGACAGGAAGCCAGCCCGTTAGTCTGGGCTCCAGGCCAGCAAGTCTCCTGGGGTCAAGCGCCAGGCCCCTGACCACAGCTGACCTAGCAGGGGCTACGGGCCAGGGGTGGGCTGGGTGCGGGTCCCCGGCTGGCTGTGTGAGCGAGCTGCGCCCCTTAGTCTCGGAGGCTCTCGGCATGCGCCCAGGAGCCACGCGGTGCCTCCGGCATATCCAGAGAATCCCCTAGACCAAGATTTGGGAGGAGACAACTGCCTTGGCGAGTGATTTATAATGCATGCTAACCAGATCCAAAACTACGTTTCCAAGTTATGGGTGGTGTGCAAATTCCTGAAACATTTCGACAAGCGACAGGAACCTTCAGGAAGACGGTACTCACACAAGGCTCCGGCCGACTGTGGCTGCCGGCTGCCACAGGCTCCGGGTTTTCGTAAATAATTCCTACTGGAACACAGCCATATCGTCTGCGGCTGCTTCTGACAGCCTGAAATATCCACCATCAGGCCCTTTACAGGAAAGGTCTGCTGACCCCACCTCGCGCCCGCCTCAGTCCCGGGACACCTGGGGAGCTTGAGCAGCTCTCGTCCTCATCTGGTCTCACCTGAGCGGCTGCTGCCGCCACCCTGCCACCCCTCAGGACCCCGGACCCAGGGCCACAGCCACCCTCACCCCTCCGCCCGCCTCGGGTAGCCTCCCACCTCCGGAGGCAGGAGTGGCCGGCGCCTGCCTGCAGCAACAGAACGGCTTCGCTAAGAGCAAGGCCGCCTTAGGATGAAAACAAAGCCAAACACAATCCTACAAAGAGAAGCCAGCCGATGGTTAACCGGCCCCAAAGCCAGGACCAGGAGCAGGGACGGCGGGCCGGGAGGGGTGCAGGCTGGGCTCCGGGCACCTCAGGGCTTTGCCGAACGGGCCCATCCAGCTACGGGCGGCTCAGCTGGCTGCTGTTCCAGCGCTAGGGGAAGCGGGGCTGGCCCGCGGCCCCAGAGGAGGACGACAGGGGTCTCTCTGGCGGACACGGAGCGCCCCCAGGACGGGACCCCCCCCCAGTGCCCTTGCCAGGAGCCTGTGCGGGGCGCACCTGCGGGTGTCTGATACCCCACGTCCAAGAGTGGATGCCTGGCCTCACAGGGGCTGGGTTCGCGTGGGGGCCACGGTCACACGGGTGGTCGTTATTCCCACAGCCACACACGGGCCAACCACCCCACCTGACGCAGTCCTGGAAGCCAGTCCTGCTGGGGGGGGTGGGGGGGCGTGTAACAGCCAGTCCTGTTCCCTCCAGGGCTCAGAGGCTCCCTTCCAGCAGCTGTTCCAGGGGGCGGGGGATGCCTCGGGCCTCCTCCCCCTGGCCTGGCTGTACAGACAGGAGCACCAGGACGCCCGCTGGCATCAGTGTCTGTGCTCAGGGCGGAGTCCACTGTGGAGAGTGGGCACCGTGGGCCTGGCCCTTGCTCCTGACTTCCACGTGGCGGGACACTGGTAGGAGGGACATGCCTGGCCTCGTCCGCCCCTCTCCTCTCCCCCAGCCCGAGGGGAGGAGACTCAGGGACCAGCCAGGGGGAGTCCCCAGGACCCGGCCCAGCTGGCGTTAGAGATAGGAAGGGGGTCGGACTCCAGGCGAATTTCCAGGAAGCCCACCACGGCCATGCCACCTCTCCAGGTTAGCTTTTATCCTGATAAAGCAAATACGCTGATGTCCCATATCCACCTCTTCGCTGGCCCAGAACACGGGAGGAAAGGGGAGGGAGGGAACGTGCAGCCCCTTAGAACCAGAGTGGGCAGGGCCGTGTCTCAGGTGGCCGACCTCCCTGGGTGGGCAGCTCGTGGCACAGCTGAGGGCGTGCCGGCCTGGCGAGGGCTCCACGCCCGGGGCCACCAAACGCAAGGGTGCACAGATGCACCCACTGCAGGGGCTCCAGGAGAGGGATGGTCACTCTGCTTAGAGATCCCGACAGCAGTTCCCTGGAACCTGAGGGACTTCCCGGGGGGCGGGGGGAACCACAGGGCTTCTCAGCAGCGCTCACACCTGAGGAAGGGGTCTGTCCGGGAGTACCGGGTACATCTCCGTTCAGTCCTAAGTGGCTCTGTCTTGACTGGGGTGAAGGGGCTCCAGGGGTCATCACTAATGGCCCAGGACACGCGGGGTGACAGCAGGTCCCAGGGCTGGTCCACCAAGAACGTAATGGCCAGTGAGCATGGTGACAGGAACGGGCCTGGCTCGGGAGACACAGCCAGGGCAGGGAGAAGGGCACAGGTCGTCACAGACCTCACCCGGGGGACTATGCAGCACCCCGCCCTGCCCTCTCACACGTGGCCCCCGTGCCCCCAAGGTCCTGCAAGGACAGCAGCCCCTCCTGCAGGGTCCCGAAGGGTGACCTCTACTGAGACAAGCTCCACCTGAGCTGGACAAAGCGACCAGCCCCCGTCGGGTGAGGTTCTAGAAGAGCAGCCGAGGACATGTTTCCGGGGGCTCCTCCCATGGTACTGGCGCCCGCTGCCCAGGTGTCCGTCTCAGCCTGCCACGCACCCCTGGGTGGGCCCCGGGCTGCACCTGTGCCTGGGCAGGTGGCATGGTCCCCAGTCCCGTCCCAGATGCGGCACCCTGTGAGGCCGCTGGGGTGTGCGTGGCACATCACGCCCCCGAGAAGCCCCAGGCACGGCCGGCCCCGGGTCACGGTCCTCTGCTTGCTTGAGTTCGCACCCAGTTTAGAGACAAAGAGGGGATTCCAGCTCCAAGGAGGCAGAGCCTGGCGCCCAGACTTCTCGCCACCGCACCTGCTGCCTGGGGTGGGGGGCACTGAGTGCGGCCTGGGGTGCCGGCCAGCCCTGCGGGTCACCTGACTCCTCCCACATCACCCCCACCCACCGGACTCTGACCGGAAGTTTGGGTTGCCACGGGAACGCATGTGCTCTGAAGCCAAGCGGCGGGGGGTGGGGGGGGGGGTGGGGTGGGTGGTGGTGGAAGGTGGGGGGCGACCTGGCTTCCTGGCGCCACTTCACAGGTGGAGGGCGACCCCAGCGCCCCACCCGCGGCTGGCCATCCCCATCCCCTTGGAGGGAGACACAGGGCACTTTAAGAAGGGAATACAGGCTCGGACTGAGGGTTCTGATCCAAGAGTCACACTAGTAACTGCTCTGAGGATGCGCCCAGACGATGTCCCACGTCAGCTCGACCGAGAAAGAGGGAGATTTAACTCAGGGTCGTTTCGTGAACATCTGGGCACCAGTTGAGGTTTCCCGCCTAACGTCACGGGTGAGCGGATTTTCCTCCCCGCTCCCCAAGCTGTGCAATTACAAAAGGCGGACGGGGACCCGTCCCCACCGCGTGGCACCGGGGACAGCAGGACGGCGCCGCCCCGGCCAGGCTCGCCTCGTGCCTGCAGCGGTGGGACGCACCACACACGCAGCTTTCACCCCCAGAAACGGGGAACGCCGCTCCCGTTTGCGCTAACTTTGGCGGCAGGCTACAATAACGAAAGCTGCCCAAATTTATTTGAGCCCTAAGGACGTCTCAAAGGGTCCGCGCCCCCTCGTACCCTCTTCCTTTAAAGCCCGCGCTGCATAAAATGTAATTTTTATCAATAACCAAGCAGCTCCTAATATCACAGCTGCATTGAAATCTTCATGCTGTGAAATCTAATTCATCCAGTACATGAATCCATCACTCACACAGACCCTTTCTCAAATGCTATAAAACTTCCAAACCCATAGATTTGTCTCCAACAAAAATAACACGAAGGGGCCCTTCAATCAATAATGGAATCCCTCTGATTCTGGTGCTGGCTGAATATTTTTTCCAACTTCGCCTTTGTTCTTGTGGTAGTAGCCCACAAGGGAAAGAGCTTGTTTTCACTCGCGGCCTCATCAATACCTAAATCCTGGTGAGCAAGTGACACGGAGAAGCTGTAATCAATAGCTCCCTGTGCGTTTTTTTCTTCTGGTCAAATGGTTCAGCCCCACTGACAGCCCTGACACTTAGAACATGATGCTAAATCTTTATCAACAGCCATCTGGGTGACGAGCAGAACAAGACTCGGGGGGTCATTAACACTCATGGCAATCTGTGAATAAACTAACTCCTCCGGAATGCGTTTGTTTAGGAAAAAAGTGGGGGAAAGTCTCCGTGCAACGTATCGATCGCCTTTGAACTGCATTTAGCAAATTCTGTCTGAGGATGAGCGCAAGGGTGCTTTTGGGGGGCGCGGGGCGTCTTCTGCATGATCCACCAGAAGACGGACCCTCCTCCACGGTGTGTGGCAGGGCGCACCTTCTGGATCACTGCCACAGCGGCTCGCCTGGGGCTGGCGGGTCCTTTGTGGAAAACTTGGGGAAAAAAAAAAATCGCGTGCTGAGGACGGGACCAGGCCGCCACACGGCAACAGCCATCCCTCCCTCTGGCGCGGAAGGGAGCCCCACCCACGCCGCAGCAAGCGCTGTAACGTGAGCCAGCACGTGCTCGTGTTTATTGCAAGCCACCTAAGGAATTAATGCACAATGAGCTTCATGGTGTCGCGTGACATTCCAGGCCCATTTTTCACCCTCTTTCCTGAAACGCACAATTGCTCTATTCAGCCCGAACACAGATCATCGAGGAGGACGTCTCCACGAGGCTGCTGGTGCTGGAGCTGCCGCGGGCTGGATCTCGCCGCCTGCGCCGAGGGAGGGGGCACCCACGTTGGGCGTCAGCGCCGGTCGTGGGCCAGTCCCGGGCCGCCTCCTGGCTGCTGCTCCCCCGGGTCCCTTCCAAGGAGGCTTTAAATCAATGTGAAGGGAGCCCTTTGAGGGCTGCCAGGCTCCCCGGGAGGCCGAGCCGAAGCGATCCCTGCAGGGCCCCCCTGGCAGGTCTGCACCGAGCTCCGAGGCACTGCTCAGGCCCAGGGACCCTGCACGCTTCGTGGGCGGTGCCCGGCGACAGAGGGACACACGGACAGGCCCCCGCAGCTCACCAGCAGCCTGGCTGCTGTCGGCACGGGAGGGCACCCAGAGGGGTCAGGCCTGCCCGCTGTCGTCACTGCCATTCTCGATTGGGCCCGAGACAGGGAAGTCAATACGTGGACTTTACGGACATTAGACTTTTAAGCCTTGTGAGAGCCTATTTTATAAATTTCAGTGACTGGGGCCATATTTGAACAGAGACATTCATAGAGATTAATAGCAGGAGGGGAGAGTCCTGCTGGTTGCCGAACAATAAATGTTGCTGAATATCGCCACGAGCGTGATCGCTGAACGGTGACGGCGTCTCACCGCCGAGAGTGAGAAAGTGCTGTCAGCAGCGCACGAGGCAGGTGAGGCCGGCGGGACGGGCGCCCGCTGGCAGCGCGTGTTTGCAGAGCACCAGCCGGGGGGGGGGGGCACCCACCACCCGCCCACAGTGGGATCGGATCCAAGCTCCGTGAGCCAGGGGAGTGCACGCGGGCACGAGGACCTGGACGGCGGGAGGGTCTCCGCGGGGCCGCAGAGCCCGAGGCTCCTGCGTTCTCACCGCGCAGCGGCCCGTCTCGGGTCACCCGGGCGAAGCCCTGCTGCTCAGGGCCACGTGCCACCTGGGAAGGGACGTGGCTTCGTGAGGAACGACGCGGTTCTAACTTTATTGGGAACGTTAATGAAACAAACAAACAAAAAAAACCCAAACCGCGCACACACACTCAGGACTCTGACTCGGGACCACCCCGCACGCCCGCGTGTGTGCAGGCAGCGTGCCCGAGGACACACCGGCCATGCGGAAGTTCAAGCACACCAGGTGCGAAGCAGGGCGCCGAGCGGGCCCACCAGCCCACTCAGGGCGCGGAGAGGTCGGGGTGTCGCCCACGTCACGCACTGCTCCCAATCCCCGGGGGATTTCAATACGGCAGAGAATGGACCTGCAGGGGCCGTGTCTCTGGCAAAAACCAGGCAGTTCTGTGTAAACGCCAACTCTTAGAGGCACCGGGCTCTGCCCTCAGCACCGAGGTGGGAGCAGCAGGCCGGGGCGTGCAAACACCTGCCTCCCCCCAGTGATCCGGGGAGGGGGATAACCCTGAAAACAGACCCCAAAAGCTACAGACAGAAAAGCGAGGTCTGATGTCGTGACTTCCCCTCCAAGAGGCGACGACCCTGTTTCCTCCTCCTGACAGGACGCTGTGCTTCTGTCACCTCAGAGGCTGTCCCACGGCTCCAGGGAGCAGCTCAGGGATGCGTGAGCAGGCCCCAGCCGGGCACCGGAGGGGCGACAAGAACTAGAATATTCGGGTTGTGCTCGGTGGTGCGGGGTCCCCGTGGACCTGGCGGCCTCGTGGACGGGGCACCACGGCCTCTCCCCCGCTCCCGTGGACTTCCTTTCTGAGGCAGGACGGCCTGCAGCCCAGGCGCAGGGGTGGCCTCTCCTCCTGGTACGACAGGCGTGCGGCCACCCCACGCGGACCCATCCTCTGGCGAGTGCGGCGTTGCCAGGAGGGAACCTCCCTTTCTGCAAACTCTGACTACAGGTGCACGAGGGTATGGAGACACCCCTGGGGAGGCCTCACCCAAAGGCCACGAATCATCCCCCTTCTGACGTGCGAGCCCTGGTGTCAGGTTTCCAGCCTCCCTAGGTCAGGCACACGGGCTGGGTCTGGACCCCCGTCTGTGTTTCCTTCTAGAACGACGCTCCACGCGGGCAGCCTCTCCGTCAGCTTTGTTTCCTGCCGCAGCCCTGGGCCCTGGACGAGTGGCACCCACGAGGCGCCACGTGTGCCCAGTTCCCAGATGAGGGGATGGATGTCCACTGGCCACGTTGTCCAGGAGTGACTCTCCTCCTCCGTACACACCGTGACCAGGGCCCTGACACACGCGGAAGGGGGTGCTTCTGTAGGGACACTTCCCAATCACCCTCGCCAAACACGGGTGGCAGGGACGCAGACCTACCAGTGCCACGGGGCCCCGTCACAGGCGCAGCACTGGCCCCTGGGGGACACGCTTCCATCACGCAGCCCTGGGTCCCCCGAGCGCGGCGCCGAGGCCTCCCCTCCACCCGCGGCCAACTTACAGGATTGCTCCTCATGGCTCCGCCCACGGCCCGCGCGGCTTTCGGGCTGCCTGCCAGGGCTGCTAACTGCTGGTAGGAAACCGTGTCTCCAAACTTCACAAGCTCCAGCAGCTTCTGCAACACCCGCGCGGTGAACGAACCTGAAAGACAATACAGGGCGTCGTCGCGTGGGCCAACGGCTCCCACAGCTGTACGGGGCTGCCGGTCCTGAAACAGAGAGCACATCAACATACTGGGGTGTCATGCTCAAGAACGTGCAGCCTGTGGCCTTCACCCCCGGCCCGTCACCGACATCCCACGACGGTGCGTCCCAGATCTGCAACTTCCTCCCGCCTCCACCCAGGCCCACGCAGGAACACGTGCCGCTCTTCCGGGACCTGCGCGTGGGTGAGCTCGTGAGCAGTCCCGTTAGGGAGCACGGGCGGCCCTGCCCGCCGCCGGACTTGAGAGCTTCTCCTACGGCCGGTTAGTCCGGCCTCAGCCGCGGCACAGAAGGGAAACGAAGCCCCGGGTCAGGCTGGGGCTTTACGCCTCCAGCAGCGAGCGGGCTCAGAAGGCCGAGCGCCACGGCACGCGGGGTGGGCGGTGGGGACCTCGGCTATGGGCGTCTGTAATGAACACGGCTGCAAAAATAAAATACCTTTATTCCCATTTTAATTGACTAACCACATCAAATTGCATTTGTTCTTCATCCTGCTGCGGGGAAGGAACAGGTGAACGCATGAGAACATTCTCTCCCTTGGCTTCCAGGTTTTAAGAGCTGTTTCCCAGGCACGTGAAGGAGGCCGGTCTGAATCGATACCTATTGTCTTTCCAAAGGAAACACACGGCTCGGGAGCACTGGACACGGAGCCGCGTCCCCCACGGCGGGGGCACCGAGCCCCCGGGGTTGGGGGGGGGGCGGGAGTTCCTGATGGCAGCAACAAAGGGAAGGCTTCCACGGGCAGCAGCGGCGTTCCGGAGTGTGTCCCTAATAGCACTAATTGCACTCAGTGCCAAGCTGGCAAAGTGTGATTTGGTTCTTAAAGGAAACACACCCTTACATGCGTGTTAAATAATAAAAATCACTTCTTAACTGAAGGGAATGATAATCACTTCACTGGAAAAAAAAATCTGTTTAGTCTTTATTATAACATTAAGCAAATTAAACATCAACATAATCCAGGTGATACTAGAACAGGGTCATAAAAGAAATTAACTTTGTTGTTCATTAATTTACATGGATTAGTAGAGGGCAAAAAGATAGCAAATGTGCTCTAGTTTTTTATGATATAATTTCAAACTGTACACCATTTGTGGCAGGAGGGTGACTTTGGGGTTAATCAGGCTGATTTGTCCTTTTAATTGCTTTCTATTCAAAGAAAATTCATTAGATAATGTTCTCTTCAAAATTCATGAATCAATTTAACTGAAGAAACCACATTAACAGCTTTGGGTTCATTAGCACATGCGGTTGTGTTACTGGCTGATTGCTCGGAGGGTTTCCTTAGGCAAACACACTCTGTTTACTGTGATTTCTTCAGAACGGGTTTTGAAATCAAACTGTTAATCATTATCATCTTTGCTGTTGTTGTTATGCCTCACTTAAAAACAAACAAACAAAAACAGGCCAAAAAAAAAAAAAAAAAAGGAGGGAGGAAAAAAGACAAGGCAGGCTGCCTGGTGATAACCTGGGGAGGAAGCGATTCCAGGGGTGGTGGCCGTCTTAGCAAAGAAACCGAGAGGAGACGGCAAGAGGTAGGGGCCCATGTCTTGCCTTCCTGGGAGAGCCGGGGCTGCTGCTGCTGGCTTTCCGTGATGCCGCCCGATTTCCGGGAGAAGAGCCTGGAACTTCACCCGACCTGCAGGACTGCGGGTCATGCCTAGGCCACCTGGCCACGCGCCTCGCTTCCCTGGCACAGAGGCGACCTATCATAAGACAACCCTAGGTCTGTATATGGGCACAGTTTATCCAACATTTTCAGCTTCGCTGTCAATTTTTCATGGGAGATAATTTCTCACTTTGTACCTAACGTATTAGGAAAAATAGCTCGAAGAACGTAATATTTTGCAATCACGCACATCGTTTTATAAAATGTATCTGAAAACTCAATTTCACCCTGTAGAGAGCAAAGGCATTAATTAGTGTGAGCAGCTTTCAGGGACGGTGCCTTTAACCCCAACCTGTGCAAAATCAGATGACGAAACTGCTCTCCTTGCGAGGAGGGGCCGACGCTTCTGGTTGTTAAATATCATCCTAACATGTAGTAAAACCTTCCCATAAAAATTAACATACGTGGATGTGGAAAATCTATTTCCCGGAGGTTGAGGTGTCCGCGTAAGTCCTCGGCACGGACCATCCTTTCAGGTGGCCCAAAGGGCAGCTGTTAGATGACGCTGCTTCTCACTCTCATTTACGGCCCTCCCCGGACAGCAGGTGTGACCCCAGAGCCGTGCGGGGTGGCCTCTGCTGGCCGCAGTCACCCTCTCCTCCCCACCCTTCCTCCTGCCATCCTGGGATCTGAGCACGGCCAAGGCAGGCCCTGCTGGAGCGGACTGATGCTAGAGCCCCCCTGCCCTGGGGACAAAGCCACTGTCACGTTCGTGTGGGTGGCTGCTTAGACCTACCCACCACGATCACCCAACCCGACCATGGCTGCTCCCGCATGCTGTCCGGCCAGACCGTAGGTCACCAGCGTCCCCGGGCTGGCGAGGGGCTCTCCACCGCCGCCCGTGGAAGACGTCATTCTATGTGATGGACACCAGGGTTTTATGTGAACTCTCCTCATGCCACTGGTGGGAGTCGAGATGAAGGAGGCTTCGCCGGCGCACTGGGGCCGACACAGCCCAGCGTGGCCCTGACGAGGGAGCCTAGGCAGGCAGCCAACTCCACAAGTTGGACAGGAGGAAGTGACCAGGGGCCACTGTCTTCCTTCCCCTGGGCCTCTGCCTCCTTCCCAGTAACAACCACCGTCATGAGGCCTCCCTGGACAGACATGGCCCGCGCCCCACCAGGCACCGCCAAGCTCGAGGACAGCTGGTCAATGGCAGGGCTGGGCCTGGAGACTTGCCTCCTCTGCTCCAATGAGGGAGAGCACCACGCTTTCCAGTTCTTGGGGACAGAATCAGTCTTTCAATGTGACCTTTGTGGCAGGGTGCAGTGTCCGGCGAAGGGCTGTCTTTCAGCTGCCCGGGCCCTGGGGCTCTCCACCACCAGGCTGCAGCTAGCTGGCACAGGCAGGTGTACAAGCACAGGGGTGCCTGGGGCCCACAAGGCTGGCTGCCCTCTGGGCCCCGCCAACGGGGCACCTCAGGAGCTATCACGGGGTGGGAAGGGCGCTGCCCGCAAGGGGCTGCGGAAGCTGTTTGCCACATCTGTGCACGGAGAGCAGTGCCCACAATCCTGCAGGATTTTCTTGCATGTCATCCAATGGCTTGGTATCCGTGGCACAGACTGTGGCTATTGGATAGGTTTTCAAGTTTCCAAGGGCTCTTCACTTCCAGGCCTGGCCTTCTGTTGCTCCTGGCACAGAGGGAGCCCCCGGGGCTGGCACACTGGAGTTCCCGAGAACCTGGAGGGTGTGAAGCCAGTTTTCTGATCCAGTGGATCTAGAGGAGGGTTTTGATAGGATGCATCCTGAAGCGCAATCGGGGCTGACGTGACCTGATGTTGCCTGACCATTAGTGCAGACGGGACTGACCGTCCAGGAACGAGCCTGGGAGTATGGGAAGACGACCGGGAATGGGGGCCCGGGTTCCAGGTAAGATGCAGTCAGCACACTTCACCCTCTTTTCCATGGGCTGCCTGTACAGCATCTGGGCGGAATGCACTTGAGTGCTGTGGAAAGCAAAACAGGAGCAGGCAGCCTGGGAAGATGACAGGAATCTGAGGAAGCACCGAGATGATGCACGACTTCACCATTTCATCTATGTCCTCCCCAGCCCAGACCGGCTGCAGCCTGCACCTGGGAGGGGCCACTGGTGCATACAGGGCACCCTGGAGCTCTCATCCACCCTGAGGAGGGAGAAGGGTGTCCTGATGCTCAGAGTGGAGGAATCGCTTGCTTTCTGGTACTATCTCTGGACTCCTGCACCCCAGCCCCCAAGCAATCAGGAGGGGCTCATGTCCTTTCCTGCTAGGAGGAGCTGGGGGTCCATAGGTGAGCAGGGCCCTGCTGCTTTTCTCCTCTGTCTTGTCAGTGCTTGGCTCCAGAGGTAGGTGTGATCCAGTAAGTGTGTGGCACGCTGGGGTAAGTAAGGTCAAATTTTAAGTGGGGACCAAACGGGATCTCAGAAAACTCCAAAGTAGTGGGGAGACTGTGGATGGAGAGAGGCTTGGCAAAGCAAGCTGATAAGCTGTTTGTAAATCCCTGGCCTGAGCCCTGACCTGTTCATGTGTAGATCTGACTCTGCATCAAAGACTTGGAGAACTGAGGGAAAGGTCCAGACTGGCCACGGATGGGCTCATGGGCTCGAAGACATGAAAAGGACCACAGAGTCTGTAAAATGACATGGACATCGAAAGCACAACCTGAAGAAGCCTGGTCAGAACTTAGGAGCCCAATCCATCCAAGATTAGTGCCTTCTCAGCAATAATAGTGCTGTTATACATGCACACGAACCTCAAACCATGACTGTCAAAGTGATCAGGAACAATCCAAAATGACTTTGCAAACCGAGCAGAGAATCAGAAAAACCTCAATTCCTAGTGGGAAAGATAATCAACAAACCTCAAGGGTGGGATAACACAGGAGTCAGAATCACCTGACATTTTCTCCGCCCAAGTTTTGAGGATTTAACTGACAAAATTATAAGATATTTAAAATGTACAACGTGATAATTTCATATGTAGCTGATAACTTTAAAGGATCTGTAGTAAAGATGCTGCAAGAAGGGAAAATACTCTTAAACAAGAAAAAAAAGGAAAAAAAAGAAGAAAACAAACAAGAAGACACAAAGTTTCAAAGAAATTCAAGTTACAGGGAAGAATCAAATGGAAATTTAGTGTAGAAAAAAATGTGAAAACTCCATGGTCTCAATAGCAGAATGGAGATGCCAGAGGAAAGAGTCAATGAACTGGAGTCAACAGAAATTTTCCTATCCAAAAAACAGAGAAAAACTCATTAAAAACAACAAAAAACCAGAAAGAGCCTTAGAGACA